TGGCTGGGAAGGATTGCAAAGGCCTTGGGGGTCAGTTGGGGTTAAAGCACCAGCATTCCAAATCTGTTCATGGAGCAGCCAGGTGGTGAATGATTAACTCAACAAGTAAATTGCTCAGTGAGTGAGACGAAGAGGGTTGGTAGACAGGGGTGCTGGGGTGAAGAGGGTTCATGCAAGAGCATGAAAGAATGTTGACAATGGAATTGGTTTTCAAACCAACCCAGAGAAATATGTGTGTATGTATAAGCACACGCACAAACACACACAGCTGATTGGTTTTGTAGTCGCTTCTGTGGACTCTTTGCTACTGGACTGAAAATATTTTTCTATTTTACAGATATGTATACACATACATATGAGGGGACTTCCTTTTTGTGGAAAATGTAATTAAAGTATGAATTTATTTTGGTATAAAAAATTGGGGGTGGCCAGCGGGTAGAGTGGTGTGTAAGGTACTGGACTCCCATGTGGCCAACTACAGTTCAAGGCCCAGACCTGATGGCTTAAAAATCACGCTGGTGTTAGCGTAATGGCTATGTCGCTGGACTCCCACGTAGTTGACCGCGGTTTGAGTCCTGGACCCGGTGACTTAAAACTCACGCCGGGCGCGTGTGCGTACGTGCCCAAGAGCCCGAGAGGAGAATGGAGGAGAAGGGATTGCGGCGTGACCATTCCCCCTGGGGGTTGATTTTTCGCTTTCTGTCTCTATGTCTCTCTCTGTCTGTCTGACGAGCGCACGCGCCCTATAGCGAAAAACCTCTCCAAAAAAAAAAAGAAAAAAGAAAAAGAAAAATCACGCTGGTTGCGTGTACGTGCATACCCTCAACCCTGAGAGAAAAATGGGGGAGAGGAGACTGCAGCTTGGCCATCCCCTGCGGGGATGATTTCTCACTTTCTGTCTCTCTGACCGGTACATGTGTTCTACAGAAAAAAAAAGTTTTCAGAAAACTTATTTCTTTAAAAAAACAAAATCCATGCATAATTTTCTTAAAGAAGCATTTTCCATGGACTTTTGGAAGACCCTGTCACTATATTAATGGTATGCACATTATATCAGCACACACAAATGGATTAGTTACATAGGATCTGCGATGTTAATGGGGGTCTGGGGGGGGGGGGAAGCAAATCTTGTATAGGAAGAGAATAAGTGCAAGTTTCAGGGGCAAAAATGGAGCCCTGGGTGGTTGGGTGCCGAGCGCTGTCTGAGCCTGGTGAGCTGAGAAGGCGCTGCGCAAGACCGGAGCTGGGAAGTCCACCCGAGGAGAAGAAAGGAGTTCCCACTGCAGCGTGGCATTCTGCCTCCTCCCCTCATGTGGTGGTGCCTGCACCTGCTGCATGTGACCGGCGGGCACCGAAGGCAGCC